GGGTTTTTTATTGACTGTTTTGGTACAGAAGACAAATTCCAGGGCCCTTCATATACTTATAGCTACTGCCCTACAAGATAGAGAACCAAGGTAGAATTTCTTCCACCTCTAAAAGTACACATTTCAACTGCGTTTCTCGGAGCTGGAGAAATAATTACGGGCGGGTTTAGTGGTCTTATTGGGACTGTGGACTCTGATAAATACTCTATTAATCCCCTGCTCCCTAAGTCTTTGACTAGGGCACCCCAGGGACCCTAGGCTATAATATTAGGTCTGAGCAATGGTCTGATGACACAGCAAGGTGTGAATATTTCTCTTTCTCTGATGCTCTCTCAAGGTGCTCCCTTTGAGTAATATTCCCAGAAGGCACATGAAAACTTATTGTTGGGACCGTGGTCTCTTTGGTGGAGCCGTTCTGGTCCCTAAAGAACTGTGGTGGCGGGTTTGGTTGGCGAGTGTGACTTTATTGTGACGGCTCACAACTTCACTCTCAAGAAATGGAGGATTTTTCTCACGAGGTTACACGAATCGAGTGTCTTCAAGAAGGCTGTCCTGCTGTTTCCTTTCTAGCGACTCCATGGTCAGTCATCCGTTCAGACTGGGTCAGATCAGTGAGTAAACACCGCTGCTTCTCGGGGAGCTCGGGGCGGCGTGGAACCGGCCGCACACTCCCGAGCTTTGAAGGTGGATGTGTCTGCTGAGGATCTCCTTGGTTGTCGCTGGGGGCTGGGAAGGCCTCAAAATAGGAAGGGGGTTCGGACGGTAATAAGGCAGAAAAGAAAGACGCAAACCTAAAACAAAACAAAATACAAAGGCCACAGACACGGAAAGTAGCCCAGGCCCCACAGGCATCGCAGCCACTGCTAGCAGAGGACAAATCATGCGGCTTTTCCTTCTCCAGATCGTTTCTGACTTCATAGTTTTTAATAACATAAGAGGTTATTGTCCTCAGGTTATTGTTATATAACCTGAGGTTATAACTCAGGTTATTGTCTTATATTATATATTCTCATTTAATTATGTTTGCCATTTGTTTTCTACTTTGGAGTAAATACACCTGTGATTTTTGTTTCAAATTGTGGGTTGCAAAATCAATTTAATGTTTTGCAACAAGCAGGAACAAATAAGAAAGAAATAGAACAAAATAAAAAATATTAGAATGCATTACATGCACAACATAAAATTAAGTATTGTTTTGTGATACTTTTGTTTCTTTTCATATGCAGTGAAATACAATAAAATATTCTTTAGATTTAACTCAACCTGGTAGACAGCTTATATTATGCCTGTTTATTTTTAACCGCATGTTCGATTCCTCGGTTGGGGCATGGAGACAAGCATAGTTTTCAAAGAATGCACACATGCTATTTTTCTCTGAGCCTTACCTTCCTCAAAATGATTTTATTTTCTTTAACAATGAAAACATAATTTAGCTACGTATAAAATGATTTTATCACAATCTTTTCCCCTGAAAACACTGTACTCTTCTTTAATCCGTTGTCTTCTGGTATTTGTACCATGGAGAACTCTAAGATCTTCCTTTCTGACTTTCTGGTAACTCCGTGTGTGTACACGTGCTGTAGCTCCCCACCCGCCACCTTCTATACCTTTTTAATTACAGTGCTTTGCCGACAAGTATCTAGGAGTGAGTCTCTTTTCTTTCCATCTGCCTGTTCTTTCAATTTATATACTCACGCTTTTAATTTAAATTACATTTGTAATTACTGTAACTTGTTCAGTACCATGCCCAAAGCAGTCCTGATTATCTTTCAACCTTTCCTTTTGCTCCCCCAAATTATCAACTGTAAATTAACATTAAAATGCTGAGTGACAGTCTGCCTCCTGTATCCCTGCCAGGTCAATGCACAGGTATAACCCAGCCACTGGGAAGATTTACTGCTGTTCCCAAATGGGTCTTGCTGACAAGTTAGTCAAACCACATGGTCAGAGGCTGGGCGCGGGCAGAGCCTGTGTCCTGGCAGTTCACGATGGGATTTCACACGCTCCTGCTCTGCCGGTTCTCTCCTGGGCCTGGGCCTGGCTGGGGCTCTTCTCCCTGGCTGCTGTCCCCTCCCTTTGTTCTCTTTCTCATCCCTGATCCAGCCTCGATGGCTTCGCTCAGGAGTCTTGCACGAGCTGCTCCCCTCCTGGAAGGCTCTGCCCTCAGACCCTCTCTCCACTGCTTCCAGTCATTTGGGATTTGCTGAAATGTCACTTCCTCAGAGCAGCGTCCTCTGACCTCCTAGTCATCCCCCTTTATATCACCCTATTGGGTTTTCTTCGTAGAACTTATCAGCATCTTATATTTTCTTGCCGTTGAATGTTTACTGCCTGACTCTCCCTAGATACAGGAAAGGACCTTACCTGCGTCATTGCTGAAACCCTGACCTCGTCACGCTTCGCGAGTGACTGAATGCTCCTTTAGTTAGTGAGCAGCTCTAAAAATAACGTTATCTGGGCTTAATATTTAAAATTATGTGCACACTTTTTTTAGCTTCAAATCTTAATTCCAAAACAATCACCAGAGTTTATACATTATCTCAGACAGATTACATATACCTCCTGCAATTATTTTTTCTTATAAGAACTAACACTAAGTTACATTTAATATTTTATTTTTTTATATAGGATCAACACCAGGGTCACTTATTTGAATGGTATCTATGTACCCATTGCAAAATTATATTAGTAACAATTCTAAAAATTCAACGAACATCATGCCATATCTATTATTCCATGCTGTTTATAACAAATTTCAAGAAAATTTTTTTCTGGATTTAAAAATTAGTTTTCGTTGCCAAATATATATATATTATACTATATACTATGTACTATGTATATGTATGCACACCTTAACATATTTTCCTAAACATGTCTTGTGTTGAAGAACTTTAAGGCAAACCAATTAATAACTATAATAAATTAAGACCTCTTGGTTGCTCAAAATTATTGTATTTAAGCATTCTTCTCTTAAGCCAGCAAATCATCATCAAATCTCTTTCGAAGTCAATGAATATGAATGACCATCTCCATAAAATGAATACACATATGCAGAAATATACACGTAATTTCAGTGAGCTCATGGACTCCACCCAGCTTATTTACTAACTTCGATTAATAGCTTCTGCTTTAGGTGATTTTTGTTATTTTATCTTCAAGCGTTCCATTTGCATTGTTTCATTCATAAGCTATCTGTAAGTCTTTAAGAAAGAACCAAGTATTGGATTTGAATTCAAGTAAGCAATTTCAACTTCTTATGATTCTCTGTTAGGATAGACATTATACAACCTTGGTAACAAGGAATGTTAAGAAGATCAGATAACATATTTTTCAATCTTTATTCATTTCCATAATCATGGTTACTTACAAAGTTATAGTCCCAGGAGACACAATATAAGGGAAAAACACTAGAGTGTCTCCTTAATGTGTCACAGTTTTTATTCCAATATTGAAGGTTCCATATTAACTTTTCGAGTTAGGAGCAAAGTGTGCCATGTTCTTTCTCAAAGCGGCCAGCAAGTTGGACTTTTGGTAGCACAGTGACAAATAAATCTTCATTGTTTTGGACATTGAAACAATGAATTTAGTGAGAGTTCTTCTCGCGCTAGACATGTCCTTTATTATGAGCTTGATAAACATCGTTGGTACAGGTACAAATCTGTCTTGCTTTAGAACTGACTGATCTCATGACCTGAACTTTGGATAAAAGTGCATTACGTGGTAGATTTTCCCAGCTTGACTGAATTTGAAACAGTATACTAAATTATGCTTTAATGTATGTAATCTTTAAGACCAGATAGAGTTAATAGATGATATTTACCTTACCATTATTTTATGCATTTTTAAGCATTAAACTTTGAAAGAAAATACATTTCTAGATTAATAAAATAGTGCAATCTAAACCTTTATTTATTTTTTCTCATTAGACTGAAATAATAAACCAAATGAACAAGAAAAATGGCAATAAAAGATTTAGCATGAAACATTACTTCTCAGAAGATAATGCCAAGAATATCGTGAAAATATGCACATTGCTTATAATTGAATTACAGAATCAATGTGTTTACCTTTGAAAAGCAGAGGTACTCATAGCCTTTGAGCTTCATTTAGGACTGTAGGCTGGGAGCTGTTAGTCCCACACAGATCATCTTCTGGTTTTGTAATAAAAGAAAATGGAAGACTCTCTCTGGAAGGAAAACTGAGGTCGCTTCTCTCACAAGCTACATCAAGTCTATGGTGTATGTGGAGCACATCAATAGTTCTGCTTGTCTTTCTTTGCCAGAGCAGAAAACAGGTTCTAAATAAAATAATCTGAACTATCATAAATCTAAAAATAAGAATGGAATATTTAAAATTATAATTCACTTAACTAGTGAAAACTGAACACATTAATCTTCTGTAGTCAGGGATCTGCAGTCATCTTTTGCATATTGTATTTAGCCAACAACCAAATTTTAATTTTTAATTAGGAGACATTAAAATATAATTAGCAGCAAATAACAGAATGACAAAGCTACGAAAATTCATAAAGGTCAAAGGAAGCAGCATTTCCAGCCATAGTGAGAAGTGATCTTCCAGAATTTAGGGAGCCATGGCGACAGTATCGCCTTCCCCACACTCACCAGCAAGGCAAATTTTCTAGAAGCAACATCCTTTTTAACAATAGTAATAGTGGTAATAATACAGGGACAGCTGTCACAACCAGAGCGTGTACATTCTTCAGAACCAGGAGACCCTCAACCTCAACACACACCGTGTGTGAAGGAGCACAGCCAGCTCCAACATGGCACATGCAGCAAAGTCATCCATCCATCAGAGACTGATGCAATTGTGAATGTGCATTTTCCAGAAGGAAGCAGAGCACAGCAGAGACCACCTGCAGCTGCCAAACTGTGGCAGTGAAGCAACGCAACGCGTTACGGAAGTCACATGAGGTGTGAAGTATAAATGGAAAACAAATGCTTTATCAAAAAAAGTTGGCTGGTGGCCCAACATACAGATATTCGTAAGTATATATTTATATATATAATGATAAAAATCAGCTTGCATGAGGGTCATAGTACATCTACTTTGAAGTTATAGCACACATATTCTAAGCAATTTACAGAATTTGTCAGGTTTGCATATACAGGAATTGTGAAATGAATTAAAATACACTGAAATATAGAACACTCAAAATGTATTTATATAAACCTCCCAGAATTGACAGGGATTGGCCATAATCAGCACTTGCCACCATTGAACAAGAACTGTAATCAAGAGAAAGAAGAAAAATCCAAGAAAAAAGGGGAAAATAAAAAAAATTCTTCCTTTCGTTATTCCTTATTTAAAATAATGTCTTCCTTGTTGACTTGCAATGTCAATAATTTTGTTATTGCCCCCAAAAGGGGGTTTTGTTTGATGGTAGTTTACGTTCTGTTGCCATTTGATCTCTGTTCGCTGCCTGTAGATAATAGGGTTGTTTAGTGGGAAACCGGTGGTATCCATAGTAAATATTTACTATACCGAGGGACGTTCAGGCCAACCCCTGAGCAGTCAGTGAGATGATGATTTTAGTCGCCGAAAGAAAAGGAAAAAAATAGATCTTGCTGTTAGAAAATGTCCTATCACTCCACACTAATTCTCTTGAAATAAAAGATCAGTGATTTGCCAAAGAAAATATTATCAACAAAGCGTGTGACAGCCTCTTCGTTTATGCCTCCGGAAGCAGGTGCTCCTTGTGTAGTTAATTAGAGTACAGTGGGTGCAGGGTGGTGCTTGGAGTTTAGGGTCAACTTTGCTGTCCGCTCCGTAGATTTTACAGGCGATTTGCTCTTTGCTTTAAGAAGAGAAAGTGATATTGGAAAAAAGTCAGCACTTTAGATTAAAGCAAAGCACCCTTCACAAAGCCACAAACAAGAAGCAGGACAGAAAGTCCATGGCTTGTAGCTATCCTCGCACCTGCGGAAGAAGTTATAAGATATTCGCTCATCTTGAAGATTTCCAATGCTCCTTATTAGGCTGTTTTAAACACATACATTATATATTTAATTAGCTTGCCAGCTTGGCTCTGGTGCTCATGAATGTCTTGGCATGCACTGCAAATAACAACACATACAAAGGATTTCAGTCCCGGCAAGTTGGTGGTGTTTGTTTTGTCTGTTTTCAAACATTGCCATCCTATGGCTGGGAACACCGAGAGGAACAAATCCAAATACTTTTCCCTATAATCAATGGTTGTTCCTATGTTCATACCTAAAAACACACCCTGTTTTACTACTGAGAGCTTCTCAACAATGGGGAGAATGTGCAGCAGGGTGGGTGCGTTTGGGCATTTACTTTTAAAGTAAATTCTTTCTTGAAGCACTATCTTGGGTAGGTTTTAAAAAAATAAGTAAGATCTTTCTTATTTTTTTTATCCTTGAAATCTGGGGAAAAGTTAATGCTATTAAGAATTGGAAATTCTTGAAAGAGCACCAAGACTATCTAAGGGAAGAAATTAAAGTGTATGTTTATACTTTTTCTTCATCTATTTTGTGCAATAAGCTTCTGGCTACAAATGACACATTAAACACCTTTATTACTAAAAATTAAAATGTGATGAGGCTCCAAGCATTTCTTTTTTCTTTTATTGGAGAAAAGTTAAAGGTGTTTGGAGTGGGTAAGAGTGGGAACATTCCATCTTTTGAATATTTCAGCCAAATGGCGCTCAGGTCCACACTGGCAAAGATAATAATTGTGTCAGAACCCCTTGTTTTCAAAAAGTCACTGTATACACAACATAAATTTTGGGGGCTTTTAAGGTGGCCATTTAGCAGACTCACATTAGTTTTTTCTTGTTGTTTTTCTGTTAGGTTACTTTGTGTTGTCATTGATTTGCCATTTTGGCGAATCAACATAAGGTGGGCCATAAATGTAACACAGTGCCTCCTCACAGAAACCTATACTGCAGACTCAGAGGTTAGTGGTGGGTCTCTGGAGAGTGCTCCTTTATTCAAGATGGATGACAAGTTTCAAAAAATGCAAAAGTGATAGTTCAGTCCATGTGTAGCTCTAAGTACAGAGAACATGCAAAGAAAATATATACACTCTATGTAGAACAACTAGCATCAAAGCTTTTCAAAATTAAACACGTATTCTTGTTATCTTTTGATGAGAGATTCTTTGACAGGGATTCATTTGATGGACAGAAAAAAAGAAAGGAAATGAAAATTATTAGATGGCTCCCTAAATAGCCAATGGCACTTGATTTGACATAAAATATGTCTGGTATTGAATAAAGTTTAAACAATATAAAAGCAACAAAACGGTTCACTCTTTAAAAAAGTATTTTGTGAAATAACAGTTTTCTTTTCAGCATAGGCGTTGCAGATTCGCTCAAATTTGCTGAAACTGCTCTGTGTCTCATGTTGCCCCTTGTCAGTTAATCATCCCTGCGTGGGAAGCACCTGACCCCACCAGCCCCATAAACTATTGAGGGAGCAGCTGCTTCATTTCAACCCAACGTTTCCTATCACAGTACGTCCAGCATGTGCAAGTTAAAGCATAATTTACATGAGCACTGTAACTGAAAAGATACCCACTTATAGTGTAAAGACATTTTGAGGTTACTGAAATTTTGAGCTGCCACCAGACCTGCACTACGCTGTTGCAACAGAGTATAATTTTCTTCAGATTATAATCATCCGTCCACCTAGGCGCACAAATTCACCAGCATATTGTTAATTAAATGAAATTCATTTCTAGCAGGACAATGATACATCTTTTCCTATACTAAGCGCTGTAGCACATCAATGTTGTCATCACGTCCCTGATGGGGTTTCTCTTCTTTCTGCTTTTTATGGGTGTCATGAATGAAGAGGTATGCACCCTTTATCTTTGTAGCTCTGAAGACTTTTAGACAGTGAAATCCGAGACTCTGAAATGCTATAACTTGTCCTGTGTAATTTTAGCAAATAATCATCATAGTCATTTTCATCCAGATTTATACTACTTTCATGGTACCATTATTGTTTATCAAACATGCTATGATTTATTCGATTGCCATATTTAAAAAAAATTTTTCGTGACAAACTTTGGCCCCTCCTCATGCCCTGTGCTCATTTCCACACACAGAAACGATTTACTCTTGTGCGATCCTGAGAGTCAGCATTGCTAGGATCCCCGAGTTCTAATTTCATTGGCTGCTCCTCACTTCTGACATCTCAGATACTTACTTTTTCTGTTTCCTAAGATGAGCATCCTAACCGTTCGTGTACTATTGTTCTACTCTTTCGTATTAGCGTTCCAGGCATGGGGTTGCAACAGGATCGCCTATTTTGTTTCACCTGGTTTCCCTTGCTCCTCGCTGTAGGTTGAGGTCGAGCAGGGTAACTCGTTACGCCCCTAACGCCGTCGCCCCCGCCCGCCAACGCCCCGCGGTCCGCGGTCTTTCCCACCAGCCGGCTGGAAGCGCCGGTGCTGGGGCCTGGCGGCCTTTGCTTTCGCGTCCCCGCGCGGCCAGGCCCTGCCTTTCCGTCTGCTCCCGCTGGGCTCTCTGTTAGCTGCTTAAGAGGAAGGAGCGACACTTGCAGCGATTTTTTTTATTACTTTCAATGTCTAAAACAAGGCCTTGAGAGCTTCAAAACTCTGCCCCCAACGCAATATACCCTGCGAAGAAGAAAGGGAGGCGCTGTTGTCTGAACTACGTGAAGAAGATGCACAGGCCACACGCGCCCATGAAAGCGGCCTAGCGGGACCGGAGATTCCTGTTGGACCCAGTGCCATTTCGTGACGTCCCGCCGCTTCTATCCAACAATGACGCCTTTCATCCGTTTTTACGCTTAAAGGTTTCGTGGCGCCCTCCCAGGTGCGACTCCCCACGTCCCGGTACCGCAGAGCAGGTACTTCCTCCATTCTTAAAACGGAAGCGGCGAAGGAGTCTTCCCGGAAGTGCGGGCGGCGCGGACTTGGCTTCCGTGTCCCCTGTATCCGCCGCACAGGGCGCGCGACACGTGCAAGTGCGCCCCGGGGACAGACGCACAGAGCCCTAAAGACATGATCTTCACTATCATCACTGTTTCAGAGAGAGACAGAAATTCCGTCTATTTCTTAAAAAAAAAAGAGCAAGGTTAAAAACAATCAAAGCACAGCGGTCAAGAGGCTTTCCTGGCAGCCTGGCCGGCCGGGGGCGCACCTGGGCCACCCCGACCTGCCAGGACGGAGCCCGCCTCCACTGTCCTAGTGAATCCTCGCAGCAATAGCCAATGCGCAGGTCAGGAAGACGTCGCGTGGCCGCGTGCAGCAGACCGTCTAGATTACACGGGTCACAGGGAGTGAAGCGATGACCGGGAAATGAAGAAGCAGCAGCACGGTCCCCACAGAGCGCCGACCCTGAGGCCAGCCACGTTGCTCCGGTGTCCCCACATCTGCTACATCAAGATGTGAAGCTATCACCTAAATATCTACTCATCTTCCCTGCGAAAATGCACCAGATATAACATACTTCAGGGAAAAAAACTTATTTGGTATAAAACTTAACTTTTCCTCAACTCTGAACTGATAAATATTGGATATAAAAAACATTACCAGCCTCTTGGTTTTCCTAAACATTAATAATAAGTAAAGCTTGCTTTGCTCTTCATGATGAGCCAGTGTCTTATCACGTAACAATATTTTGAACTTTCCACACTACAGACTTTGGCGGTTTGAAGAGTCCTCTGAATTCAATTGCATATCAGTGTGAGACCTGGCTCCGCCATTCTGCAGACATACTCCTCTTCTTTCCAAGGACTTCTCTTTTCCAAGCTTTTGATTCGAATGTGATAGCCTGGGGCCAAGAAAGTTTAAGTTGTAGGTCAAAGTGCCATCATTAGTTAGTGACAGGGAGGGCACCACCATTAGAGCTCTTGGCTATCAGGAAAGATCACCCAAAGAGGAGGGTGCAGCTATCAACTTCACAGTACTGAGCGGAGAGCTGAGACAACTACCTAAACAATTTCTCCCCTGCCAACGTTACCAGTTCTCCAAATATCCACCTTCTCTTGGCTTTGAATATTTTCTGATGCATTAATTGGCTGTGTAATTTCCTGTGCGAATTACTTGTTTAGCCGGGGCACATGCAACGCACCGGGCCTCCGTCAGCAGAGTTAGGCCCGACGCTCGATAGGCTTTTCTTTATCTTCTTGTTTGAGTTTTTAGTGGAAGCAAAAGGAGCAAGAAAAAAGGAAGAGAACAATTTCTCTCCCACAGTGGGTCCCTGGTGAAAGGCTCCAGAATATTTGTAAAAGTGAATAGTAGTGTGAGGCACATCATAAGAACTAATCTAAAAATGGAAATCCTCCAACAGTAGAAGTTGCAAGAGTCCATAAGTTTTTGTGTGTGAAGAAGTCCAGTTTGCTAGGAACTGAGCGTCCCTTACAGCTCTTCAAACAGGTACCGACACACTCCCTCTCATCACAGATGCCCGCTTTCAGAAATGAAATCGCCGGGTGGGAAAATCCGAGCTAACTTTTAATGCAATTTTTACTCAATTTTGCACATACTAAATCACCATTTAAGAGGAAAGGTCAAATAATAGGATGATTTTATCCTATAATTTTTTGAGAAGAATATCTTTTTATGAGAATTCTTACAGGTCCAGTGCTAATTTCTTCCAGAAATCCATTTTTGAAAAGAAATGTGCCTCATTTTGACCTAATACATAAATCGCTTATTTAATGTGCCTCAGCATGTTGGCAGCAGCTGTTTAAATTTTCTTTCTCGCTTTCCTTTAGTCAGCGAGTTTACAGCTCTATTCTAGTCAGGAGGCCTCTTACTGTAGCTAGGGGGAAAAGTGCAGTCACCATGAACACATGGTCTATTCAACAAGGCACATGTGTGATGCCTCATTCACCAGAGAATGTCCCAGACTCTCCTCTTGCTTATAACCAGTCTCTGCAGCCTTTTGGGATTTCTACCTTCTGCAGTTACTGGAGAATGGA